CTGGATTGCGGGCAGAGGGGAGACAGTTGTCACTGCCCCTGAGGGGGCTGCCCTTTACAGACCTGCGAAAAGTTCAAAGTCCTTAGTCTTTAATCCGGGCTTGAAGACAGACGCTCATCCGCCTTGGCCAGCGAGAGGAGACACCCGGGGTCCAGGCGGAGGGACCGGCAGGACCAGCCCGCCCCGGGAATCGTCCCAAGCCAGGCTCGCTTCCGCTGGATTCTGAACTGCGCCTTCCACGGCGCCTGAGAAACGGGCCCGCCTATCTCCGTGCCTCCCTCTTTATTCCTGGCCCACGCCTAGCACGCAAAGGGGGCCATTCCACCCTTTGGTGGTTCCCAGCAGCTTGAGTTTAGAATAACTGCGCTCAGGACTGGAGGTGGAGGTGGTGTTTGGGGATACAGGGATCCCACTAATGAGGCAGGATCCTTCCCTAATTACCACGGCGATAAGGGCATGGTTGGGCTGGGGCCTCAGGAGCCTCAGGGTCCAGGTCTACCTGCATTTTCCCAATTCTAGACCACCTCCATCAGGCTCCTCACCAGGCCTGCTGGAGTCCCCTCCTAGTGGGCACCACCCTCCTAGACAGCACTGACCTCCCTGGGGTTGGGTCCACACCAGGGCAGCTCATCTTGGCCAGGTGGTGTGGTGGGTCCTCTGTCCCTGCCTCTTGGGCACCCCAGGCCTTCACCTTCCCCTCTCCAAATTACAAATTACATCTGAGCCAAAGCCCAGATGTTCCACTTGCATTGCTCCTCTGGTCCCAACCCATTCTCCAGCTGCACACTGAACTGCCCTCCATCTATAGCTGACCAGTATCTCAAAGGACCAGTCACCTCCAGAGTCCCAGAATCTGGCGATTCTCAAGGGCACCCTGGTCTCCTACCTCTTACCCTCAAAGCATCGTCCAGGAGATTAGGTGACTCCTTTCCCCAGCATTCTTTCTCCACAAGTTTCTCAGATCCACCCCCTCCTCTGCCCTGTGTCCACTGGTCTTCCTCTGACAACCCCTCCCCTAGACATAAACATCGCCCCTCCCAACTCATCCCTGCCACCTCGCAGTCCACTGTTAAGCTGGAAGGGAACTCTGAAGTCACCAAATCTAATCTCCACTCTCCCTGCTTAAATACCTTTAGGGATGGGGTGCTCGCTACCTATACATCAGGGAACAGCTTCAGCTGTTGGAAACTTGATTATATCAAACCAAAGCTCACCTCCCTGCCAGGGCCCTTGGGAGTCATGCAGAAAAACACCTCCCTTTCCTCCTGACAGTTCCCAAGAAATGGGAGGCTCTGAGGACAGACACCTGGTTGAGTCCTAGCCTTGCCTGGGCAAGTCATTCCACCTCCCTGCTTCTCAGTGTCCTGTCTCTAAAATGGAGATGGGGCGGTCCCTACTCACAGGGTGGGTGTGCAGAGGACTAGATGAGGTTCCTGTGGTGAAGGACTATAGCAGGGCCTGGCACACAGCAGGTGCTGAATAAATGGTGGCTGCTAGAACTGTATTATCTTTGAAGATAATGCCTGGAGGGTCCTGTCTCCAGGATAAACACCCCAAGTCTTCTGTCCCTTTAAACGTGGTGGCCCTCAAATGTGGTCCCCTAGGCCAGTGTCAGCCCTCCTCCATGTTCCCTTGTGACCTGAGGTGCCTGCGCAGACATTCCTCAGAGTGCCCAGCTCAAGGGGGCCCAGATCTCATCCTGTGATTTGCAGGAGGGCGGGGATACCCACCAAGTAACCATTCAGCCCTCCGAGAGGGAGGGTGCAAACAACTTCCCCATCTCCCTGACGGACTCTGAGCTCCACCTGCCCCGGCAAGGGGATAGATGTGCCATAAACATTTGTCTGGCTGGGTGGGGTTGGCTGGAGTCTGGGATGAAACCAAAGTAGGTCTCAGATCTCAAGGAGGGGAAGGAGGGCATGCTGGAAGCCTAGGGTGTTTCTCTCCCCTCGCATGTAAATGAACACATAATCACAGCCAGCGCTCTCTTGAATACCTACAGCATGCCAGGGTCTGTGCTAAGCACTTGACATATGAGCCTTCCTTTAATCCTTGTCAAAACTCTGGATGCCTCAGCTCCCAGATGGGAAACAGGCTCAGAGAGGTGCAGTGACTTGCTCAGGGTCACATAGCTGGAAAGGGGTGGGCTTTGACCCTGGAGCTCACAGATGTGGGCCACTGTATACATCTTCCTCCTGGGAAGGGGGTAGGGACACCACTTCCCTCCTGTGGTCCCCAAGACAGGTAGTCCAGACCCCTCACCTGGAAATCAGTGTGCTTTGCCTCCCTCTCCCCATCTCCTCAGCCCTGCTTGCTCCTTACAGCCCCGACATCCCTCCCTGCTCACTCAGCTTTCTTCCATCGCATACTTCCTTATTTCTCTGGACACCAGCAGTCGCCTCCAGGAAGCCCATCCTGGTTATCCCCATCCCCCCAGAGTGAACTCCAGGGACAGGAGGTAAGGGTGGGGTGGCTGATTCATCTCAGAAGCCCCAGCACCAAGGAGAGGCTCAAACAAAAACCTCAGGGGTGAGCCCACAAGCGGAAGGATCCAGCCCTGCTGGAAGACGGCCCTTCCCAGGGCAGCCTGGGGGGCTCGTCTGACAAACCAAGCCCTCACTTCCCTCATCCTCCCAGTGGGGCTCGGGTGTTGCTCTAGGAGGGCAGGACCTTCGTTCCCTGGAGATCTCCAGGGCCTAGAACCAGGCCTGGCACAGTAGGTGCTTAAAGCTGATTTGGTGAATGAATGATGTCATCTCCTTCAAAAAGCTCATCATATCCCGCTAGCTGTTCCTAGAATAGCTGGGGAGAAAGTAAGAGCGACGTTCTCCATCTCCCTCCAGGCCAAGTTTTGCCAGTCATGCTGTGTGATGTGGGCAAGTTCTTTGTCTCTGAGCCTCAGTTTCCTTACATTTCATGTGGGATTAATAATGCTCTTCTTCTAAGGTTCTCTTGAGGGTTCAGTGAGACAAGCATGAGGCCTCAACCCACCTGGCATATAAACATGTTTGGTCGGCAGTGGTTATTATTATTATCAACAATAGAATAGTCTCTGCTCTTCTTTCTCACCAAACCTGGTGTCATTCACCAACTCTCACCCTCTGCTCCAGCCTGCCTACTGCCCCCTCTTCCCTGCCTCTGCACTTCTGCATATGGCAGTTCCCCCTTCCTGGACCACCCTCGCCTTCTGCTCTGCCTATCCATGTTTTCACTTCCACCAGAGGCCACCTCCTCCAGGATTTCCTCCCTGACTAGCCCCTCTGCCTCTGATCACTCAGGCATCCTTGTCCCCGCAGTCTGTGTCATTTGTCCCAAAGTGGGTCCCCCCCAGTGATAGGACTTGGGTTCTCCCCCTACAGGCTGGGTGACCCTCTGGCTGCTGATGCCAGTGTCAGTCATGCTGAGTTGCAGGCAGCTTCTGAGACCAGGAGGCTGAAGAGGGCCCACACTCACTCTGACATCAGCTCTCATCTCATCGGCCTCACCTCTGCCAACTTCCTACAGCAGCTCATGGGCCTGGCCCAGGAGCAGCTGCCCACAGGAGAGGCTGGGACCATGTGGCCTGGCCACCTTTGTTACCTCTCAGGGTCAGACAGAGGCCCCAAAGCTCTGCAGGCCCCTGGCAGGATGTACACTGGGGTAACTGAGGCCAGTTTGTTGCCAGGAGATCCCATCTGGGGGAGAGGCAACCAGCCAACACCAGAGCCCCAATGCCAGGCACCATCCGTGCCAGCAGATTGTGTCTGACATCACAGCCGCCCCCTTGCCTGGTGACCACGGCAACTAGAAGCCTCCCCCTCCTCTCCCCGCCCCCAGAACAGTCCTCCACGTTCCTCCTAACCGTGGTCTTCCTGCGCAGAATGGATGCGCATGCATCTGGGTAGCAGCAGGGTAACGGTGGCATTTTTAATCTCCTGCAGCTGGCAGAGCTGAGCTACACAGTGGTTAGGCACCACACAGATCTGGGTTGTGGATTCAAATCTCAGCTCTGCCACACCTTAGCGATGTGTTCTTAGGTGAGCCATCACCCCTCTGAGCCTTGGTCTTAACTGAAAATGAGAATAATGACTGGATGGATCTCAGAAGGCCAGAGGGAGGAGACCGAGCTTTGGCGCCTGGCCTGACACAGTGAGTTGTAGCATTACAACTACTGTCACTCAAGTGCGTGCTGGGTGGGGCCAAACCTGGGTTCAAACCCCAGCTTGGTCTCTCATGAGCTGTGGGGCCTCAGCCAAGTCACAGGACCTCGCTGAACCTTGTTATCTTCATCTGGAAAATAGGGAGATGATGCCTTCCCAGCAGAGCTGCCACAGCAGCACATAAGGCACAGAGCCCAGCAGGCACCAGGCAGAGGTGCCCCCGCCATCATTTTTATCCTTATCCCTCCTGTTTTGCCCACTCCTAACTCCCAAGCCCTGGCACTCCAGGACCTGTTGGTCCCTTCTTCCCTTTGTCATCCCCAGGCCCACAGTCACTGTCACAAAATCCCAAAGTGTCCCTGACCCCTGCCCAGGCCTGAAGAGTGGCCCAGTTTCCCAGGAAGGGTGCCTGTTGGGCACTGGAACAGAATCTTGGCCGGGCTGGGGGGGACCCTTCCTACTGAGTCTTGGCTTCCTCATCCGTGACGTGGAGCCGCAGCTCCTTTCACCTCAGGGCTGTAAGGCCAACAGTGCAGAGAAGGGTTTTAGGGCAGCCCTACTCCTGCTGCCTTGCAGAAGACCCCCACTCCGCTGATTCTGAGCCAGGGGCAGCCCCTATGTCTCCTAAACCAGCCCTGCCCACCCCTGAACCCAGACAACACTGACCAGGCTAGCTACACCCTTGCCAGGGCCCTGAGGATATCCGGGCCTGGATAGAGAGGGCAGTTAGAGTCCTGTCCCCTCTGCCCCCAGCTGCCCCCAACCCCAGGGCCCTTGGGCCTCCCTACCTTGGCCGCCCGCCCTTTGTCCATGCAGTCGGGGTTCTGACAGCGCAGCCCCTTCTCCTCCGCCAGGCTCCGATCTTCTGCAAAGGAGAGGAGCAGAGGGTTACTAGTCGGGCGCGGCCCAGGGAGGGTGCGCCCCAGACTGGGCACCCAGGCTCCTGGGGGCCCCAGTAGCCTCCTGACCAGAGGATGGGTGGGGCCGTCTCCTCAATACACCCTTGAAAGGAGGTCAGTGTCCCTTTCTCTTTTAAATGCCAACTTATCTGCATGGGAATCTGTTTGCAGAGCCCTTTTCTTGTTGCAGCTCCCCAGGGAAATTATCCAGATTCCACGGGGAGAAAATGTCTTTGGAAATAAGCAGATCTCTCTCTGGGCCCCACTAGTCTGGGGGGTGGGGGGCGGCTCAATGACCTTGGGGCCACAGGTTTCCTTGAGCATCCCTGCAAGATTGCTGGGGGAAGGGCCTTCGATCCCTTCCTACCCCTGCCCTCCGCATCACTGCCTCCATGGACAGTCATCCTCGCCATAGCCTCACCCTCTGTCCATCTTTGTCCCAGAATTTGGCCCCCTCCAAGCTGCCTCTCTTCCCAGCGGCTGGAGTGCAGCAGCAGAGAGGGCAGGGAAGTGGGGGCAAGGAGGCTGCCCGCCCGGGCCAGCATTCAGGGCCGGGGAAGGGGTACTGAAGCGCGCCCCGACATGAGGGCAGAGTTTGGACCCCCGCTGCTCTGACTGCAAGACCCGCGTCTACCTCCCACCTTGAGCAGGCCTTTCCCAGAGGAGGGGGCGGGGTGAGCTCCCGCCCGCCGCGGGGAAGGAGAGGGCCCTGCCCCGCTCCTCAGCGATCTCCCCCCCTCCACCACTCCCCGGCAGGCCCGCGACGCCCCCCGCCCGCGCCCCTCCCCAAGCCGGCGCGGAGGCGGCCAGGCCCGCCTGCCTGCATGGCGGGGCCGGGCC